TGTTAGTGCCTTTGTGTGCGTATATATATATGTGTGTGTTAGTGTCCGAGTGCGCGTGGACATTTATTTATCAACATACGTTTGTTCCTTTGTGTATTTTACCAGCCCGCCCGTGTTCCCTTACGTGCATGTATACAGATATCGAATGCATTCATATCTGGTCACGTGATGCAGGTGAAAAACCCGCAGTCCTCTCTCTCCGCTACACGCAGGACCCGGCTCGTACGTGCCAAAGCGCACTCGAAGAAGAAGAAGAAACAGAAAAAAAAGATAAAGAGAAAGAAAAGGAAAAAAAGAAAAGAGGTATAAGAGAAAAGAAAATTGAAATAAAAATAGAAGCAAAAGAGAAAAGAAAAGAGAGAACAACAGCAACAGCGAAGAAAAGAAAAGAGAAAACAAAGACAGAAAAAGAGAAAAGAAAAGAGAATTAAAAACACCAGCAAAAAAGGAAAAGAAAAGAAAAAAACAGCAATAAAAGAGAATAGAAAAGAAAATAAAACGCAAAAGAGAAAATAAAGAGAGAAAACAAGCAACAAACAGCGAGACAGCAGACAGACAGGCTTGAAAATCCCCGTCTGCTTTGGGGATGACACCATCATATCCCTCCTCCCCCCTTCCCTCCCTCCCTCCATCTCCCCCCTCCTCTCCCTCCCTCCATCTCCCTCCCTCCCTCCCTCCCTCCCTCCCTTCCTCCCTCCCTCTCTCCTTCCCTCCCTCCTTCCCTCCCTCTCCCCTTCTCTCCTTCACTCCCCCCTCCCTCCATCCCCCTCCTCTCCCTCCCTCCATCTCCCCCCTCCCCCACAAACTCTATACCCCAGGGGTATGGCAACGGAACTGTTTATTTTCGCCATCTCGTCTCGGGTATGGCAACGGGCCTGCTATTTCGGTTGCAGACAATGACGTCATGGTGACCTGCAGGTGAGACGATGTTAACACGTGATTGGGGGGGAGAGGGGGGTGGGGGGAGAAGAGGAGAGGGACGGAGGGAGGGAGGGAGGAGAAATGGGGGAAGGGGGAGAGGGAGGGAGGGGGAAGAAATGGGGGTAGGGGGAGAAGGAGGAAGGGGGGATAGGGAGGGAAGAGAGGCAGGGGGAGGGGGGACGGGAAAGGGGGGAAAGGGGAGAGGGAGGAAGGGGGGGTACGAAGGGGAGAGAGGCAGGGGGTAGGGGTGACGGGAAAGGAGGGAAGAGGTAAGTGGAGGAGGAGAGGGGAGGAGGTAGTGAGGGGAGGAGGTAGGGAGGAAGGGAAGGAGGGGAAGGGGGGAGGAGGGGACAAAGGGGATAAGTACACTATATTTAGAGCAAGGTCAATGGATTCTGTTAAGCAGAGCGTGTCTGCGTTTACAGGATTCGCATTTGTTGACACCCTGCCCACACTTGCGTCCCTCAAATATCCTCGTATGCACTTCATCTCAATCTCATATTTATGTAGCAACGCCCTCTGCAACCTTCTACGACCTCTACGATTGTGCAATGGCAACCTCATAATCCTCCCGTGGCAATTTCTACAACTTCATGGCCTTATTTGACCTTATACAATGACGTTCTCGAACTCATGCCCACTCATGCTTACCTACTTTCTATTGCTCAAACGTCTATTATTCTCTCATTTCATCCTCATGAATATTTGTCCTCATTTCCAGCATTTTTTTTTTCTCCTCTCGGCACCTCTTCGCCCTCCGTCTTTTCCCCTTCCTCGCAATCCAATTTCTTCCCCTCTCTCTCACCTCTTCCACTCTCCCCCACCCCTTCCACTCTCCCTCACCCTTCCACCCCTCCCCTCTCTCTCTCTTTCCACTGTCCCCTCTCCCCCGTTTATTCTACCCTCTTTCCTCTCCCTTTCCATTACTCTCTCTCTCTCACCCCTTCCACTCTCTTCCCTCTTCCACCCCTCCCCATCTCTTTCTCCCTTTCCAATCTCCCCTCTTCCTTATTCATTCTACCTTCTTTCCTCTCCCTATCCATTCCTCTCTCCCTTACCCCTTCCATCCTCCCCCCTCTTCCACCCCTCCCCTCTCCCTCACCCTTTTCATTCTCCCTTCTCCTTCACCCCTTCCACCCTCTCTCTCTCTCTCTCTCTCTCTCTCTCTCTCTCTCTCTTCTCTCTCTCTCTCTCTCTCTCTCTCTCTCTCTCTCTCTCTCTCTCTCTCTCTCTCTCTCTCTCTCTCTCTCTCTCTCTCTCTCTCTCTCTCTCTCTCTCTCCTCCCACCCCTTCTCCCACTCCTCCTTTTTTTTACCAAGCTCCTTTTTCATCAGCTCTGACGCACATCGTACAACAGTATATATCAATTTAATACTTGAGAATATAATAACCAGTGATCGTAATAAATGATTGGATATAACGTACTTCACGTTCGTATTATTTGTATTTCCTGTATAAGGGAAGGAAACAAATTAATAGATAATTTAATTAACGGATTGATAAGTTAATAAATAAAGAAGCAAATAAAACATTACTTGGTAAAGAAAAGAAACTATATTTTTTTTCTCGATTATTATAC